GGGCCTGATTATTTAAGACCTTGTATGTGAGGAGCAGGATTTTAGGCTTTGAAAAACTCAAACGTGCTGCCTTGTTCTTTTTAGAGAGACGAGTCTTGTTTGTTCAGTCTGTTTCTAGCTGCACTGTCACAGATTTTAACCTTTAACCTGCTAACTGAGGTCTGCAGAGTCTGAGATGGAGCTCTTGGGACTTTTGGTGTTTCACAGGCTGGATGCACATCGAGAACACATCCTGTGACCTCAGCTGAGATATTTCCAGTCCACTCTTCCATCCTGTCAAACTGTTTGACACTTAAAGACATTTTAATGATTTTAACAACTCAAACAAGAAAAGCCACTTCTTCCCTTTCCATTGTTGTGTTTGGAACATCAGGGAAATCTCACGATCTTCATCTTTTAATGACTCATCCCAGCTGATCCGACTGTCATCCACGCAGACACTAAGTTTGCTGAAAACACTAAACTGAGCTGTGGGGAATAAACGAGTGTAAAATAAGCGAATAAAAGCTGCATCTGTGCGTGTTCGCCTGTGTCAGAATAAACTTGTGTCCCGTGGGAAGCCCTGACGGCAGTTTAACAGACTGGAAGATGAGAAACCACCAAACACAAGCAGACTGAAAATCAGTGTTTGGATGCGATAGCTCCTCATTAGCAAACACTGCGCTCGGACCCTCGCTGTCTGATCGCGTTAGCGGGTCAGGGAGGTCAGCTGAACTGGAACAAGCGCTGCTTTGTGCCGCAGCGGCCACACAAGACTCTTCTGTCTGATTAAAGTCCTGCTGCCTGTGGCTGAAATAATAACCTGTCCTTCCTGCTGCACAGAGACCATCACGGTCAACGCTTCGTCATCTGAATGCATCAGTTTAAGTTCCAGCAGTAAGCAGCTGTGTCAGGACAGCAAGGGCACACGTGTCAGCATCTTACCGTTAATCTGATCCTGAGTCAGGAACTTTGCCTGGAATGAAAGCAGGAACAGCATTAACAGAAATCTGGACGACAGCGTGAAGCTTCAGCGGGGACGTTATCTCACCATTGTGTCTGCTGTTGTGACGAAGCAGCCGGCTGTCAGCGCTCAGGAAAACTGATCCACGCTCTGAAAGATGAGGAATGTAACGGGAGCGGACGGCGGATGCTGGCTGGGACAGCCAGGCTCATCCCTCTGCTGCTGAGGTGTCGCGTTTATGTTTGAAAGCATATATATTTAATATCACACATGCTGCACACACGAGCAGCTGAAAGCCTCCTACACACCTCTGTTCACCTCTGACCCACGTGACCAGGGTCAGAGGTGAACAGTCAACACTGGAGGACTCCTGAACGCCTAAAAACTGCTGCAAAATCAACAATTATTTAAAACAAAATTCAGTTTTCATTAGATGGAGCAGATACTCTCAGAGAGTCGATGCACAGGAGCAGAAAAGGATTAAAGGTTAATATTATTTCGGGAGCTACACATATTTTTTTTA